GGACTGTGGTGTCTTAATGTGGACTGTGGTTCTTCAGGGTCTTAACGAGGACTGTGGTTCTTCAGGGTCTTAACGAGGACTGCGGTCCTTCAGGGTCTTAACGAGGACTGTGGTTCTTCAGGTTCTTAAGGAGGACTGTGGTCCTTCAGGATCTTAACGAGGACTGTGGTTCTTCAGGGTCTTTACGAGGACTCTGGTTCTTCTTCGGCTCATTTTCTGGTTTCGTTGTAAACTTGTTTCCATGTCTGAGCTGCAGAGGCCCCTCAGGGACGCGGCCCCCCCTCCCTGGCTCTGAYGGCTGTACGGGGGCGAGCAGGAGGAGGTAATGGGCCACAAACTCCTAATCAGGTCCTTTCTGGGGCTAATTGTCTCCCCGTCTGCCTCTGCCCTCCCTCACAGCCGGGGGAGTAATGAGGGGATGTGAGACGTGCCGTCCCCCTCAGGACACAGAAGCAGTCGATGAGAGGGGTCTCCAGAGCCGAGCAGAGGCAGCTAATGGGGAGAAACCAGGAGGAGGAGGCAGCTGAAGGTGGTGCAGGATGTTTGGACTGAAATCAATGGAGCTGAAGCAGCCGGAGGAGCAGAGATCTGCAGGAAAACTGCTCCAACCTGCTCAGCTCTGCTGCACAAACAGATCAATTTAWGAAAAGAAATGAGTTCTTAAAGTTTTAAAAAGGGCAGCGGCTTGGTTCTTACCCCTCCTACCCCCCCCCCCCCACAAAGGACCACCCCAAAGACAGCAGACTGCCTCAGATCGACCTGAAGAAGCAGATCATCTCTGAGCCCAACCACCACTTTTATAAACTAACGTTTCTGAACGTTCCAGGAAAAACCAGAGATCACAAATCAAGACTTTTTTTATTATTAAAGAGAAAAACTGAGCAAAAATAAACAAAAACAACCAGAACTCAGTTCAGTTCATTCAAATCTTACAAACAGATTTTATTTTCAATCCTTRTTTTAAACTCGGTAGAAAAAGTTCAGTTTTTGTGCAGAACCAAAGACAAAATACATATTTTTACAGACTTCTGAAGATATTTAGTGGTTGTGGAGAAACTTCTTTATATTTAACTGTGAGGGAAAATAAGATTTAAAAGTCGTATTTTATGCATGGATTTCAATACTGGCACCTTTTATTTTTATGAATTTTATTGTTGATTCTATTTTATCTAATTGGATGATTTTTCCACACTCTGCTGCTGTGTGTAGTCTCTCTCCTACATGTTTGTTTGAACTACTTTTATCAATGACAGGTTTTATTTGTCTCTGTTCCAGAGGAGAATACACCTGGACCAGTCCACCTGTGTGTACGGTGTGGTGTGAGGGCCAAAATTAAGACTATTGCACAAACGTTGCTCCATCCTTGTAGCAGGAGGTTATATCTACTTCAAACCAGCTGTAGATCTGATTAATGATAGGCTGGAGTTAGCAAACGAGAAGGAGGCTATTCATTTGAGTTAGCATTGCTAATGCCATTCACTAGCCTCTCCGATGCTAACGCCAGCTTATCCATGCTAGTCGCTAGCCTCTCTGATGCTAACTCCTCATGTGTCAGCTCCAGCCTGTCATTAATCAGATCAATATGTGGTTTGGAACAGATAACCTCCTGCTACAGGGATGTAGCAACGTTTACACTGCAAAAACTGTCCATCTAACCAAGTTTTAAAATCTTATATCAGCCAAAAAGTCTTTYTGATCTTGTTTTSAGACTGATTTACTAAACAAGAACTGATTGTGTAAGAATAATCATCTTGTTTTCAGAATGTGTAAGATTATTTGTCTTGTTAGTCTGAAAATTTGACTCTAATTAAGTCAAACATTTCTGCCAGTGGAGTAAGAACATTTTACTTGGTAAGATTCTTAAAATCCTTGATTTGACTCAGTTTCTTTCTTATTTTCAAGAATAATAGAGCGCCTCTAGTGTTTAGACATGGAGCTGCATCCAGCATCGCTGGATGCAGCTCCATGTCTAAACACTAGAGGCGCTATAGAGCCTAATAGAAAAGTCCAGCTTGAATCAAGCTGATAGAAATACTTGATTTGACTCAATTTTTTATTATTTCAAGAATCTTACAAAGTAAAAATTTTCTCAGTGTGAGAAACGCCCACTTTGAGCCTGCAGAGACCCCTGGTCACTGCAGGTCACACCTGAGTCCAACAATGGACCATGGTTTGTAGTCTTTTAGGGGCATCAACACTTTTCTCATAATCTTTGTTAGGTTTTTAAAATAATTATGTTAAAGCAGAATTATTTTGTTAGTTTTGGGTCTCTTCAGTGGCTGTTTGTGTTTTTATTTGAACTAAAGGGTAAAATCTCATTTGTGATGTGCTCAGGTAKAAAACTTCAGAACAGGAAGTTGTTTCTTTATACTCAGACCTGTCAGTGTAAACACACAAACAGCACAGAATCAGGTATTTGACACATTTGTACTTTTATATATGAAGTGTTTCATGAAGGCAGTTAGCTGACCCACGTTTCCAGAGCTAGAGGCGTAAAGCGTTGAAGCTCCTCCCCCTCAGGCCTGCAGCGGTGGTGATTGGTGTGGGCGTGGCTGAGCTCGGTGTGAGTGACACGTGAATCAGTTCAGTCATTAAGAAGCTTAACCCCCCACACACATCAGGTCCGTTACTGCAGAAGCAGCAAAACGTGTCGTTTGTATGAAAAAAATGAGTTTGTGGGTTTTTGAGCCCAGCGGCGTGTCTTACAGGAGATCTGACTCCTCTCCTGTTTGTATTAGACTTTCTCCTGTCTCCTCCATCCAATATGTCCCCGCCCCTCTTTCTGCTCCCTTCCTGACAGGTGTGGTTCTGTCCAATCAGCAGGCTGGGTTCAGGTCACATGCCTGTGGAGGACAGGCCCAGGCCYGCTGCCTTGCCCATGCAGGGCAAACCCTGAGCTCCAGACTTGGGGAAGTTGTGCGCCATCACTCGCCCGTTCTCGCCTCCGAGCCCCGCCGCCGCTCCTCCTCCGCCCCCGACCCCGCCGGCCATCCCGCCGAGGCTGCTGCTCATCATGGCGGCGTCGATGAGTTCCTGCGGGGCAGAGAGGAGAACTGTCTGGTTTCTGCTCGGAGTAAAGTGGTTTGAGAGTGCAGCTCTGCCCCGCTCTGCGTGTCAGCGCTCAGTAAAACTAATGATGTGGATCCAGACTTAATATCCTGAATCCAGCCTCTGAGGCTCCCACGCTCCTCATGCAGAGTGGAGCAAATAAATCCCAGGTTGATTCATTTCCAGACGGCGCTGCAGCCTCCACAACACCGCTAACATTAACTCCTTCCTGCTCGCGCCTCGGCAGGACCACGCTAACGACACAGACTCACTGTTTTCAGTTTGATCCTCACAGCAGCTTCTCCCTGAGTCACATCATCTCTGAAGAAAAACATCTCAGCTTCTTTTCTTTCTCCTGTTTGTGTTTCTGCTGCATTTAACAGACATCCAACAGTCTGACGTTACAGATCGTCAGGGCTGACGAGCTGGACAGAGCTGTTTGTTCTGCTGCTGGAACTCTGAGCAGATGTTTTTAAAAATGTCTAAAYGTTTTGTTTGTGTCAGAAAACGAGCTGCAGATTGTTACGTCATAATCCAGGTAACCTAAAACGAGCCCAGCCCCTCACCTGGTAACCCAAGCAGAGACTCCGCCCACTTCTTCACAGGGCGACCACATTAGTTCTGCTGTTTAAACAGTCACAGAGAATGGAGGGGCGTGGCCTAATTTAATTAAAGTTTTGATGGAACCGTTCCAGCAGGACTCAAAGACTTCCATTCAGCTGAAGGAGACTTCTGTTCCTCACAGATCTGCAGCTGAAGGAAGTGAAGTGATGTGTTCTGTATGAACATGATCTGACATTTAGCACAAACTAATATAACAGAGGAGGTGAGCCCCTCCCCCTGCAGCCTCCTGAGTCCTCAAACATTGGAGCCTCCATGTTGAAGATCCTCGGTTCGTCTCTCACTTTACAACACCGGCCTCGGGAAGCAGCGACTTGGCCCCCCCCCAACCAGTCTGCCCCTACCAAGCCCTCACCTGAAGTTCTAAACCATGTTCTGAGGGGGTGGAGCTTATGTAAACAAAAGTTTGGGAGGGCGKAGCTAATGTAACCAAAGGTTTGGGAGGGCGGAGCTAATGTAAAGAAAAGTTTGGGAGGGCGGAGCTAATGTTAAGAAAAGTTTGGGAGGGCGGAGCTAATGTTAAGAAAAGGTTGGGGTGGGCGGAGCTAACGTAAAGAAAAGGTTGGGGTGGGCGGAGCTAACGTAAAGAAAATGTTGGGGTGGGCGGAGCTAATGTAAAGAAAAGGTTGGGAGGGTGGAGCTAACGTAAAAAGGTTGGGAGGGCGGAGCTAACGTAAAGAAAAGGTTGGGAGGGCGGAGCTAACGTAAAGAAAAGGTTGGGAGGGCGGAGCTAATGTAAACAAAAGGTTGGGAGGGTGGAGCTAACACAAAGGCTGTGTTGGGAGGGTGGAGCTAACATAAATGCTGTGTTAGGAGGGTGGTCCTGAACGTTTGGGGTCTCATGGTTTAGATGTAAACTTGTGACTGAAAACAGACTTTTTAACATCAAGAATCAACCCTGAACAGAGTGAAAATGACTGAAAAAGATGTGATTGTTCTGGAAGAACTAAATAAGTTTATGTTGTCAGGAGCTGCAGGGTTCATCTCTGCAGGTAACTGAGGACCGGTTCAGTTCTGCACACGTCTCCATCTGCTCCGTGTGATGAAATCCTCCACATGTCACCGCCGCCTTCAGAGAGCACTCTGAGTCCTCCCTCTGTGCTCAGATGTGAGGAGACTAACAAAGGTCCGGCAGCGAGCGGCCTCTAATGACTTGTTTGTTCTCTCTGAGCCGCCCATCAAAGCCTCACCATAAACTAACTCGCTCTGTAACGAGGCGGCCGCGGTTTCATCACGCACGCAGACGGCCGTGATGAAGAGGAGCGCAGACCGGAGTGGCAGATGAGCAGAGTTCAGTTGATGCTCTTTGAAACGGGAGTCAGATTGGTGCCGCTGCCTGTGGCGGCGAGGAGGAACCGGCAGCAGCTGAGGCTGCTGACTAAAAATAAAACAAAGTCCTTTAGTCTGTCTGAGTTTTTATGACTCGCGCTGAGCAACGAGGAACCTTTAAATCAGGGGGGTCTAATCCTGGTCTTGGACGACCACTATCCTGTCTGATTTACCAGGACCAGGACTGGACCCCCTGATCTAAACCCTCATTAGTGGCTCCAGGAGCATGGTCTTGTGGAGGAGCCAGCATGCATGTGCTTTATGTGTCGCAGCAGTAAAGCCTTGTTTTCACCACATAATTCAGTTATAGAAACATAATAAAGCATCGGCTGAACTTCCTGTTTACGTTCTGAAGCCCCGCCCGGTCCCGGTTGGCGTCCGGACTCACCTTCATCCTCCTGGACTCGATGCGAGACTTGTAGCAGAACTCGACCAGAGCCACCAGCATGGCCAGCCCCARCCCACCAATCAGAATGTAGAAGACCCCGGCCACGTTGCTCAGGCTGAGCGCGCTCGTTTTGTCCTGTCGGCACAGAGAGGCGGAGTCAGGCCCGACCAATGGCGGCGCGCATCTTCATGAAAGACGTCTAACTTTTGTAACGAAGCAGATTATCAGTCAAAAACTGTGACAAGAGGCCATTTCCTGGTCTGTAACAACTTTAACAAATCAGATTTACAGTAAAACACAAGTTAAACTTTTATTTCTTACTGTATTTTCTGGGATTCTAAGTTCCTAAACTCCTCTGTACTTGTTAATCATCTGTTGCTCAGTATTTCTTGGAAAGTGCAAATGTCCAACTTTGACTACAGGTTTAAATATCCTCTAAATGAAGACATGATTTCTGCTTCCTGAGGGTGAAATCAGCCTCTCTGCTACCTCAAATCACAGCCTTTGATGATCTGTTTCATGCAAATCCATGCAAGGAAAGAAATCAGTGAGGGGGAAAGAAATATTCTCTAATCTAATCTAATCTAATCTGAAGTTGGGTCGTGTTTCTGCTGCCCTGCTTTGTTCAGAGGAATGGATTTTTACTCCTCCATAAGAAGTGAGGGAACTGCTTGGAAGATGTTTCTATTATCTTCATCATCATTGAAACTGCTGCTTTCTGAAAACAGGAAGTTTTCTTCTCCAATCTGTCATGTCCCTCAGCCAATCAGATTCTACGAACACAAAGATCAAAACCAAGCGAAGGTTTTGTTCACTTTAATCATGTTGATGTAAAAACATTAAAATTAAAGCTTTTGTTTCCATTTCCAGTCAAGCAACCGATCTGAAAGTTAAAAGTTTAGATCATTTTGCGTCTTTAAATAATTTGTTGTTTTGCGTAAAAACATCTCTGAGTTTAGTGATCTGGTTCTTGTCGGGACGATCTTAAAGTGCCGGTGACATMAAATTTTATAATAAATTTGAAGACATTTTTGGAAAGAGAACATTAACATGTTGCAAAAAAAACACTGCTGAGATGAAAAGTTGTTGAGATATTTGCATGTGAAGAAACAGGAAGTGATGTCAGAGGGAAATGTCTGCATGGAAACTGAGCTAAAACAGCGTAGAGAAGAATCTGATGTTTCTTTAGATTATTTTGAGTTTCTATCAGAGAGATGAAGAGTCCGAGTTTAAATAATATTTTAATAAAAACAAAGACCAGAGAATTCCTTTGATCCCGGACGAGCCCCCAATTTGTTACGGYCAGGCTCTGGGGCCATAACAAATAAAGGGAAGCAAYGCATGGGAAAACTTAAARTTAAATTTATTTAACAAAAATCACGGTTGGCTGGAGAAAAAAGAGCAACAAAAGRAGAAGCCTCGCCCTGAGAGCCAACAGCAGCTCTTCAACTGGATCTCAAGCTCTTCTAGACACTGGCCAGCTGCCTCCAGTTGCAATCAGCACCAATCGGGAACTCTGAAACACACAGGTGTTCGAGAAAGATCCAGAGGAAAGGCCTTGGGCCRTAACAGAAGAGTTCCCCTTTGATGTCACTTCCTGTTCCACTTTGGCTCAACCAAATTCAGAAGAAAATCTGCCAGTTTTATGATAAAATGAGTAAAATCATGTTTTATGACCAGCTTTGTAAATAAAGATGTTCTCTTTTTACATTTGCAGGATGTGCATGACACAGGCACTTAAAAGGAAATGAGAGGTTAAAAGTTGGACGTTTCCTGCTGTTTCTGCAGGTATTTATCCTCTAACAGCAGCGATCGTCTCCCTGCTGCAGCCTCAGTCTGACAGTWAGACGTCTTCCCGACAGACTGTCGAACATTTCCCGCTTAGTCACGCTCCGTTACTCCGAGGGTTGAGAGGAAACAGGAGGTACATGACAGATTGGAGACAAACCCTCCGTGGGTCCGTGTGTTTGGAAAGGAAGGCTGCGGTCAGTAGATTTCATTAGTTCTTCACTGRAGGAACAAAACCTGACTTTGATCTGAAGCTTTCCTCTCAGGCCAGGTTTTATTTGTTGGCAGCTTAAGTGACTAAACATCCCTTCGAAAATAAAACTGTCTTTTTAAAATTCTCAGGACAGTTTTCTGCCACCAGGACAGAATTAAAATATTCCTATAAATATGTTCCCCCAGAGGCAGGAAGGTTGGATTCTGCTTCCTGCTGATGTTTCTGAGAACAGAACGGGGAACTGATGGGCTGCTTCTGATCTCCAGTCACCAAAAATCTCTTATCGGCTAAAAAAAAGTAATAAAAAAGAAGCGAGGCTCGGCTCCGTGTCTCATCAGTTTGCAGGAAATAGACCAGAAGATGATGTCAGAGTCAGGATCAGTGTTTTTACCCTCCTGTTGTGCAGAAACATCAGCAGAGGCTGAGTCTACAAACTGAACCCGTTCTGATCAGCTCAAACTGAAACTGAGTGTACCTCCTGGGGTTTAGGGGGGTCTGTTGGGGAGCAGGTGGGGTGTGGGTGGAGGGTAAACCAACACATGACCAGGAAACCAAACCGTCACCTCCAGAACTGACCTTTCTGCCGGAGTCCTTGTGTCCACATTCCCCCTTGTCATACCACCACTTGTTTTTCAACTTGTCTAAGACGGCTTGTTCATTGAGCTTCAGTACTGCTAGGTTTACCGGGATTCTTCAAAGAGCCAAAGGGACAGGAGGGAGGGGGGTTGGAAATAACATAAATAACATTATGCACCTTCATGTTATCTTATGTTATTGTTTTAGCTGCGACGGCTGCAGCGGCGGTTTGAGCAAAACCTGGCGTTAGAGATTACGGACGYTCGGTGTGCTAACAGAACACGTGGACAGCAACAGAAAGGAAAAACAAAACAAACAGACAACAAATCACACAAACTCTTGAAACAATGTCAAAGTGATATGATTTAATACTCCATCTAGCCTGGTTTGGCCTGACTCCCTACGTGCAAGATGTGTATTACTATATCACTTTGGGTAACTGGCAAGAGCTGAAAACACTCCAGGATCTCTGATTGACTGAGCAGAGCCTCAGAAGACAACCTGCTGTTCTAAATCATCCGTACAAACTGGTTCAACTTTATGGAAAATTGATATATGAGCAAAGAACCGTCTGATCCAAGAGATATTTCAGTGAAGGTTACGACCCGTTCAGGTGGCCTGTCGGCTGCAAGTAAAGAAAACACGAAGATAACAGCACCTGCAGTGAGGAGCAGGGAAAAGAGGACGAGGAGAAGAGGGGCAACTTATCTCTAGCAGCAGAGCAGGTGGGAAGAGGGTAATTAAGCTGAGTTTTTGATAAAGTACAATAGATTGTCCTGTRTGTCCGTATACATGAAACAWTTACAGACAATCTGTACAACTTGACATGTACGCAAAACAACAAAGTTTTCTTTAAGGATTTAAGGATGGAAGGCAGCCTTTGCCATTGGTACTTGGCTTTTATTGTGATGTCATCATCCTGTGACAAAAGCAACTGCTAATGCTGCTAATGATGCTAACGGTTCTAATGCTGCTAATGCTGCAAATACTGCTTGTGATGGTAATGCTTCTAATGCTGCTAATGCTGGTAACACTGCTAATGCTTCTTATAATGCTAATGCTGGTAACAATGCTAATGCTTCTTGCTGGCTTTTGTCACAGGTTGACATCACAGCAAAAGCCATGCACCAACAACAAAGTTATCRTCAATGCTGGCTTCACACGGCAAGATAATTAGGTCAATCTTAGGCTTGATTTGTCCTTCTGACAATCTTAAGGATGCTCAGATTATCAYGATGGCTCTAAAGATAATTTTAGGAGACAATCCTGCTGTGTGTGCTGAGTTAAGAGTGATCTAGCCGACTTGGAAGGACTTCTGGACAACTTTGACCTCAAATTGGGGATATTAAACATGTTGTCTTGGCCTGATATCCCAGCGTGTGTGGTGTCCCCCAAGGACAAACAAGCTCTTAGCCTGTTGAATGTGACGTGTCACCAATTATAAACCGAGGTGATGTAAACACAGAGGGGAATCCAAAATACAGAAGACAGAAACAACTGCCATGGAGCCCAATGYTATTCTGTGTAAGAAACAAGCAAAAGATGAACTTCCTGTGCCAAATTCATTTTTCCATAAACAAACTTTTGTGTTTTCTAACTTGCCCACYGGCTCTGAACATTTAAAGCACAACAATGACATGACTCATAAACTAATCTTATCTGCAGCACAGATTAGAAACAGGAACCAGCCTGAGGGAGAGGACATCGAAGTTTAGAACATCCAAACTCTCAAACTGTTCCTGTCAGGCAAAATTGTCAAATTTCCATTTTTATCATTTTCATATATTTCCATAAACTGTACGGGTCAGCCTAACCGTTTGTGATTCCATCAGTGATTACTTCTTTAAAAGTATCAAGAACGCCTTATGATTAAAGTTAATGGAAAACAAAATATCCCATGGACCAGACAGATTAATTTTCCAGATTCTGGTTTTGTTCCTGGAGCGTGTCATGCTTGAATAATAAAGTTCATTTCTTTTGATGCCAGTTACCCTGGTGTATCATTGCCTGTCGTTACCCGTCAGGGTTACGGTGATCTGACCTTGGAGTCCCCTCCCCCGATGCCGCACTCTCCCTTGTCATACCACCATCTGTTTTTCAATTTGTCCAACAGGCCCTGCTCGTTCAGTTTTAACACTGCCAAGTTTACAGGGTTTCTACAGGAACGATAGTAACAATAAGGGATAAACAGGAAACTAGGCGTTAATGAATACTTTCATAGTGAAGAAGGTAACATTATTACATGTGTGTTAATGACAGGCATGATGTTAGTAGTGTTATTAGAAAATGAATGGTGCTTTATGGCGTTGCTGCTTTTTAGCCCAGATATTTAAGATTTTCAAATCATTCAGGTAGTTTCAGCTTCGACCATTAAAACCTGGAGTTATTTCCAAACCATTGATAAATTTTTGGAAATAATTTGAGCCAGTATTTTACGAAATCTCCAACGGAACGTTTGGTTCAGTAGAACCTGGACAACATCACCAAGACTGTTTGTTCCACCAAATGGATGCAAGTTTACGTTTGTCAATGATGGCACAATTTATATGGCATTCCACAACTGGCTCAGTTATAGTTTAGTTTATGTGGCCCAACATCTGTCAATGCCACCATTGGCCCAGCTGTGGTTTGGCTCATGTGGCCCATCATCTGTCAATGCCACAACTGGCCCCAGTTGTGGAACACCTCAAACCATATCATTCTTTGTGGTATTTGAACAGTGTTCGTGTCTTTTGAGGGCCAGAGCTTGGCCAGACAAATGATGCTATGTGAGTCACCAGGAGGCACTGTGTGCCTCGTATAGGGATGCAAGTTATCGATTAATGAATTAATCTAAAGTTGATTGATCTTATCGATCGACTAACGATTAATTGATAAGCGGCAATTATCCTCAAAACCTGAGTTTTCATATGTTCTATAACATAGACTGCATTTTTGTTGCTGAATTTCACTAGCATAGCACATCCGTAATCCTTGGTTGGGATGTTGACGCTGCTCCAGGTCCGCCATGCAGCACGGATGAATGAACGC